CTAGCACACCCATTGCACAGAACGCCCTTATCTGCACCAACTTTTCTAAGGATTGCTCCTGCACACAAGAACAAACGGGCTACGCCTCCAAGAAGGGGGAAAAAAAATCAAGAGCTCTCCATGTAGAAAGAGCCAAGTCAGCCTGACGATGCGACTGAGTTGACAGTGGATGCTGTGATCGCAGCTGGTTAGCACATCTCTTCCATGAACACTTTGCGAACACTTGTCACCGTCCTGACAAGACTTCAAGCAGCGACTCCTGAGGTCAGCCCAGCCATCAGCTTGTGCTCAGCCACCGTCACCGACTGCACAGGTTCACCCCCGATTAGCATCATTGGGACCGAGCAGATCTGTCTCGTCTGTGGCTCTGATTAGCACGTAGCAAAGCATTGGATCCCTCAACGTACTGCGATCCCCCGGTGTACAGCCCGGACCTGTGCCCAAACATGATCGCCGCCCAGGCCAAGCTGGTCTACCAGCTAAACAAATACTACACGGAGCGCTGCCAGGCCAGGAAGGCGGCCATCGCCAAGACCATCCGGGAAGTGTGCAAAGTGGTGGCCGACGTGCTGAAGGAGGTGGAGGTGCAGGAGCCCCGCTTCATTAGCTCCCTGACCGAGATCGATGCCAGGTACGAGGGCCTGGAGGTGGTCTGTCCGACCGAGTTTGAAGTGGTGCTCTACCTCAACCAGATGGGAGTCTTCAACTTCGTCGATGACGGCTCCCTGCCGGGCTGTGCGGTGCTCAAGCTGAGCGATGGCCGCAAGCGCAGCATGTCCCTATGGGTGGAGTTCATCACGGCCTCTGGCTACCTTTCGGCCAGGAAGATCCGCTCCCGCTTTCAGACTTTAGTTGCCCAGGCCGTGGACAAGTGCAGCTACCGGGACGTGGTGAAGATGATCGCGGACACCAGCGAGGTCCGGCTGAGGATCAGGGAGCGCTATGTGGTGCAGATCACTCCAGCATTCAAGTGCACCGGCATATGGCCCCGCAGCGCGGCGCAGTGGCCCCTGCCCCATATCCCCTGGCCGGGCCCTAACAGGGTGGCAGAAGTCAAAGCTGAAGGATTCAACCTCCTGTCCAAAGAATGCTACTCCCTGACAGGCAAGCAGAGCTCCGCAGAGAGCGACGCCTGGGTACTCCAGTTTGCTGAGGCCGAGAACCGGCTGCTCCTGGGGGGCTGCAGGAACAAATGTCTGTCCATCCTGAAGACTCTGCGGGACAGACACCTTGAACTGCCCGGACAGCCGCTGAACAACTACCATATGAAGACCCTGCTGCTGTACGAGTGTGAGAAGCACCCCAGAGAGACCGACTGGGACGAGGCTTGCCTAGGGGACCGGCTCAATGGCATCTTACTCCAACTCATCTCCTGCCTGCAATGCCGCAGGTGTCCGCACTACTTCTTACCCAACCTGGACCTGTTCCAGGGCAAACCCCACTCTGCTCTAGAGAGTGCAGCCAAGCAGACCTGGAGACTAGCCCGAGAGATCCTCACCAACCCCAAGAGCCTGGATAAACTATGAGACTATTTCTGCTGATGAAGGGGACACTGGGTGACAGGACACAAGCCCTGACAAATGTGGCATTTGGGTGACTACATCCCACTGCCGGCAAGAGACACGGAAGACTACATTCCACTGTAGACCAAAAGACATTGCTGCAGGAAGACTAAATTCCAGTGCATGGGAAAGTTTACATTCTATGTGGAGTCTGGGACCTGGCTCTCTGTGCACATTGCCATGTCACTTCCAGGACTGTAGCACATCACCAGTGCATAAATGTTAGGGCCAGTCCATATTTCTTTTAGTTAACTTTAATGCAAACACATAGCACACGAAGGAAACGTTTAATGCACTTGCAGATCACACAAAAGGCGATAAGGATTAGGAAGAACTCTAGCAATACTTTTTACCGAGTGACTGAAGCCTAAGAAATATTCACATGTCGCCAATTTGTGACAAAGGGGTGTATGATATTATGCACGGCAGGACTTTCATAGCCCCTGTGTCCCAAAATGGATCGAGTAAAAGGGTCTCATTTTATTTCAAGTCCACCTCAAGGCAGATACTTTTCCCTGCAGCTGTTGTTTGAAATATTAACTCTCCAAGCGCTGATCACAACCTTTTTTTATTCCTTCGCTGTGATTAAGAGATCCCAAGATCCGGACTCTCTAGAACTAGTCCGAAATCCATCTGTTTCTCCAGGACTAATGCGAAGCACCGAAAAAATCCATTTGTCCCCATTCTACAACCTAATGGGAAGTTAAGAGCGGACCAAGCAGCCCCCAGCACCCTTCAATGGGGTCCTCTTTCTGTAAAAGTGGGACGTGGAGGGACTTTTCCTTGCACAGGAGGTGAGAGGTGACTCTCTCCTTCCAAACAATGTGAATCAAGTCACACGAGAAGCAATCGGACTTAAGAGAATCAAGGTACATTTTCATAATGAAATGTAGCAATTTTCTTTTTCCTTTTTTTTTTTTTGCCTGAATGTTTGTCACAAAGTGAACAAAAAATTATTTAAACTATATGTACAAATGTTCTCTCCTTTAAAAGTTTACCAAGGTTAAATGTATTATAGTGCCAACGTCAGCCTGTGCCTAACAGCTGACACTTTGAAACGAGAAAAAGACCAATAAAAAAAAATAATTATAAATTCAGATGTTTGTCTTTATAAATGAGATCAGAGGCTGTATTCTGTCTGTGTGAGAATGTCAGAGTGTTTTGTGGTGCCTGAAATGATTCGAATAAACACGGTTTTATGTATCACTAAACACAAACGTAGTGTTACCAGGAATCTTAGACACCGTACGATGAGAGAATAACAGGATTCTACAATACGAAGTACAAACAAATTGGTAAAGCAGAGAAGGAATACCATTAGAAATCCAAATCGTGAGATAACAAGAGCTGAAATAAAGTAAAAGCAATAACGAAAGTAATAATAAAAAAGTAAAGCCCAGCAGACAATTCTTAAAGAAACATGATAAACTATTTTTTAGAAACACTTTATAAAAGCTTAAACATTCGATTTGATGTATTTTAAAACGTCATTATATTGATGATATGCTTTCCTCTCAGAATGACTGCGGCTTCATAAAGTACACACAACACACCGAGGATGGATATTTTTAGTGAGACAGAACTGTCCTATAAAGTCAAAGCCGTCTAGTTTAATGACAAACAGGCTGCTAGCCGGTGGCTACTGATTGGCTGTAAAAACAAGCAAAGTGTGAATATAAACAGGGATCTTATCTCTCAGATCCTATCTCCACCGCAGGCTGCCTAGAAAGCTTGTCATAATGTTTTCTTCTACACTGATTAACACAATCCCTAACACAACACACACAAAACAAGAGAAACCGTGCCGCTCATTACAGCTTCTGCAACATAACTTTTACATTTCATAAACTAATTAGCTGCATATCACTTCATGGGGTGATTTACTATAGAAATACAGTTAATTTAGCAAAATCAAGTTTCACTGAGCAATGTAAAAAAAAAAACAAAAAAAAACAGAAACGGTGTTTAAACAGGCGTTAGGATAAATCTGTTCATTGATTTTATATATA